CGCTGATGAACGTGGGGAGAGGAGATGGTGATACCTGAGACTGCGAGCTCGACACAGTGGACTGGGCCGGAGAGGCGGCAGGGACAGCGTTGCGAGGTTTAGGGGCCATTGGATGTAGGGCATGGTGTAGGAGAGGTCGGTGGATAAGATATTTTGCACCGTAGTACTTCCCGCGCATACGTGCGGTATTGATGTCTTTTGCCGGCGGGTCGGAATCTTCCCATCGCATGTATTCTGGAAGGCCGCTACGCCATTGCTCGAGATTGAAGCTTAGAGCTTCTTGGATCTTAGTTGACCAGCGGGCCTTTTCACCTCCTTGCTCTGTGATAAAGGTAATGGTTAGTTACCAAGCCTTAACGGGGGTGTAAACGTGGTTTATGTCATACTTTCGGCCTTGTACAGGTCGGTATGGATCCTGTTAAGAACTTTCCGGAGGTGAATTTGAACAAGATAATACATCATCATCATGGTATTAGGCGCATATATTTCATTTGGGATGGTATGTGCAAAAACACCTCGCGGGAAATTCATGCGCCCTTCTAGTCGACTTATCCCACTGGCTGGCAAATCAAGCTCTGCCAATATATCACTGTTTCGCAATATCCATTAGCTCTGCATATTTTCTTTCTCTTAATTTTACTCATGTTATTCTTACCTCTCGAGTTGTAGACAAGTCCAGAAAACTAGGCATATCAAATCCTTTCTTGGACCCTCAGGCATACAATCATATTTTCGCCTAAGACATATAAGTGAGCAACGACCTTTTTTTTTTTTTTCTTTTTTTTTGGCAAAAAGGGGGGTTATAGCAGGGGGGTTGCTCACGGTCGAACCAAAACCTGGCAGGCACGGGCTGCTTGATAGATCCATCCGTGGCTAGAAAAAGGGTGCGCAAGTTGTCCTGTATACAGAGCTGCGAGAAGGCAAGCCTGAGCAAGGGCCAGATCATTGCCCCCATGTAAATTTCCCAAAATGTCCGAGGCAAGTGCATAATATGCCATTCCAGGAATGACGTCCATATTCCTTACATCGGGCGGGTCTGGACCAACATGGGTTGACTGCGTAGAAAATCGTCTATGATGGTTTGCGAATGGCATACTCTCAGGCGGGGAGTTTGACACGGCTATAGAATGATCTCCCATTACAGGTGTGAAAGGGCCAAACTGAACGTGGCGTACCGGGCCGGGGATAGGCCCTTTATATCCACATATAGAGCCAAGAGCCAGCACCAGTAAAACGATTGCATTTTCTAGCGAACGTTGTATTTCATGGCCGCCATGAGGAGAGAAGCTGTCTGACACAGGTGACTCAGGGTATCCGTCCGTCATGTCAATAGATCGCTTTCGTTTTTGGACTCTATGAACACCTGATGCCGGATCAGCTCGCGAGGCTAGGGGTGTTGGCATAGTTTTAGACTGGGGGCTGTATGTCCGGATGAAATTTGTAATCATGTTGTTAAGGCTATCCTGGCCAAGGAAAGGGTGCAAAATATGCATATTCTGGAGATAGCTTTGGCGATGCATCTCAATAACGTCGGCATCAAGATTAAGCACGCCAGAAGCATTGAGGCCACCTACCTGGCGCTCCTTCGGGACACGCAAAGTGGGATTTGATTGATAAATTTCTAGTCCGGTCCCATATCCAGTGCTGGGAGAACGGGTTTGGTATCCTTCGTCTTCTCGCGGGCTTGGAGACCGAAGCTTTGGGCTAAGCGGGTAAACGTTGATATCATGTCCGTCTTCACCTTCACCACGGCCATAGGGCCTGATGGGACCTCGTTCCTCTTCTAATTCCATAACATAGTCTGCGTCAATTCGTTCAGGTAGTAATTTTTGTATTGATGGCCATAAGAGAAGCTTGTGGGCTGCGGTGGTGTGTTCGATAGGAATGGATAGTTCATCATCGTCGATATGTAGATCGATATGCTCGTCCTTTATATGCTTTCCACTCGGAGCTTCGCTTGTAACTGCGGCTTGTGGAGAGGTCCGCTCTTGTTCCACAGGCGTCGGTGTCTTTTGGGCTACCTCGGGCTTCTTTTCAAGCTTAGGGCTAAATGGTGACATCTTCTGAGCACGTATCAAGGCTTCTAGTTTCAAATCTTGCTCTGCCTGACCCTTTAACATATCGTTGAATCGATCGTCCAACTGCTTAAGACGGTCAAGAACCAACTGAGTCGAGCGTTCATGCCTACAGCGGAAAAGTGTTAGTTTTGTATCAAAATACAGCACTAAACCAATATCTGCCACGTACTTATGAGGGGGAACATCCTTATAGACACAGACTGAGTTGCTCTCTTTGCACAAGCTACATGACGGACGGCCCTCATCACATTTAGCTTTTCGCGCACGACATTGATCGCAGGCCTATTTACAATTGATTAGCCCCAGATTGAAATACTATATATCCCGCTGTCGGTATGAATTCCTACCTGCTGCGCGCGCGTGGTTCGGCGCTGCCGTTGAGCCTGCGACTGCGCCTGTGAATTAGCTTGGTTAAGGAAGTAATTATTCTGGTCGTATGGGTTGTGTGTCTGAGATATCGGTGTGCTAGGAGGATATGGCCGGTTTGAGGACGATGGTGGCTGCATGCCATCGACAGGTGAAATCATCTGCAAACTGTGATGTTCTCCATTTGGATGGCCGTTGTCAGCGCCATAGCTACCCGGCCGGCTATGGAAGTCGTTTGGAGGTTGATAGTTATTAGGAGGATTTGGGTTGCCATCATGGGCACCATTGACCGGTCTAAATGTACCGTTGGGTGTTCTGGAAGTGGGTGTTATGCTATTTCCGGGCCTGCCGTATGATTCCGCCATATGGGGACCTTCCCGGGGAGAAGCAGAGTAGGAAGACGGCGCTCGTTGATCTGCGTTCTCGTAAGGATGATATGAACGTACCCAAGAGCTGTCGTATGTCCGGGGAGGAGGGAGAGACGGCGGGCGTTCTGAGGGCGGCAGCTGGCGCACCGACGGCGGGGATGGAAGCGTAGGCAAAGACTTTGGGTTCTCTGATGCTGTCGCAGCCTCCATTGTCATGATTTCAACTCGGTCCAAGATCGGGACGCTCAGTTATCCCTTTAAACACAGGACCCGGAGAGTAATCTGTCGTAGGTTGTATTTTTCGCTTTGTAGGAAAAAAAAGAGTGCGATGTATATACGTTCTACAAAGACCAGTTGAATGAACTCCGTAAAAATAGCATGGCTAATGGGTGACTGTTAGATCCCAAGTCCTATACTGCGAAAATATAGTGAGAGAAAGGCGCGGAAATCCGATGACGAGCAAAGTGAAGAACAGCTGGCGGTCTGTCTGTGGCAGGTGTTATTCTGCGAATTTGTTTCAGGGTGCAGCAAAGAATGGATAGAAAAATATTGAGGGCGAAGAAAAAAAGGTTGATCTCGAGGCCGCAACGATATGGGAATCACTTTGTGGAGAGCAAAGAGCAGACAAGATCTCGACAAGTCGACGGGCCGGCTGTTCGTTCAGAAATAATGGTAAGCTGTGGTTCCTGAACCATCAACCCAAAGCTGTCAGCAGCCGTGTAATGGTCCTACTTGGACGGTGGTTACCCGGCTCCAGGCAAAGTTTCCGATGTTTGAGAGCCACGGAAACCGACGCAGCTCAAAAGATGAAACGTCCAAGCCAGGCAGTCTCAGCGAGTTAGCGAGGCAGGAATGTAGACGCCTTCTGCCTCGGCCGGCGGCGTTGCGGCGATGTGCGGTTGTGCGGTGTAAGGATGTACGGAAATATGAATATTATAAAAACAGGATGAACGGTTTTTTTGGTTTGGCCCTGGGAATGAATGACCAAGTCAAAACGGTCGGAAGAACGTCTTTCCTCCCTGCTGTTCGCCCCAGTTGCGAGTCGATGATCTGGTGATTTTAAGCAGAAGGCTTATGGGCGTGGATAGATGGGATCTGACTGGGCAAGACGGGAGGACGATGGTATGGTGCTGAGGGGGGGCGAACGCGATCCAAGCTCCCGCAGGCCTTTTGGGCTCGTAGCCGAAGTTGTCTATCAAGGCTCAAGTATGCTCGATGTCGATGTCGACGGTGATTCTGGCGCAAACCATCAACTGACAAGGGGGAAAGAAGATACCAGGCGTTCTCTCTGCGCCTTCTATCACGCTCACGCTCCCTATCTGAAATCGAAACTCTCAAGCAAACTAGCAACAGAGACAGCAGCGAGAGGAAGAGCACAGAGCGAGTGGAGAAAAGGATCGGATCACCCACAACGCCTTTAAGCTTAGAACGGAGTCACAATTTTGCGGTTTGCGGCTTGCGGCTTGCGGAATTGCGGACGGGAGATGGAGTTGCTATGTATGGAGCGGCGAAAGTAGTGTCCAAAAGGCGAAAAATGAAAACCAACCAAGATGCACGTACAGAGTACGGGAGCAGTAGGTGGGATTGTAACAACGCCTGCTGTACGAAGCCTGTATACTCCATACATACGGGGGAGGGGGGGGCCCTACCAGGGATTGGGGCGATAGGATGTATTATAGCGCAAGAAGAAAAGGTGAGTGACAGGTTGCTGGCCGGGGACTATCGGCGGGTTGCTGCATCAAAACCTTTAGCAGCTGGAGAAACGATAGATCCAGCCGTTACGTACTAAGTATGTACCGCCGCTGCTGCTCCTCCAAGAAAGGGGGTTTATGCAGAGGCTCGGTTTTGCGGCGTTGATATGTAGTATAACTTCGTACCACGGTGTCCATCAACGAATTCCATCAAGAGGGAACAAACTGAAGGCTCCAGGGAGGTAGGGAAGAGCATGCCAAATCTCGTATTTCCCGAGTACTAAAAATAAGGCCCCTCAAGCGAGAGAAGAGAGATGCCCTGGCGCATCCCGTCATCCTCCCCTCCCTCCCCAAATTCCCCATCCACTCCAGCAAATATAATATCCACATCTGCTATTAATTAACCTAGCTTGCCTAGCTTAAGTTTTTCTCGGGGCGAATCAACGCCTTAACCGAGTCAGACCCATCAACCTATGGGACAAAAAAGCATCATATCAGGTGCAGGCAAGCTCAACACGCGGCACAGAACTCCTCAGACCCAAGGCGTATCTAGTATGCAGAGCCGAAGTGTATCATGATTCAAGAGTGCCAAAGAGAGTGCCGAGATTTTGGAGGTAGATCTGTTCGCCCCCAGCATGTAGTATGTATGCAGCTTGACTTATATCCTGTCATGCCCATTCGTTTCTATATGGCTGTCAAGCGCTTACTATGCAATGCAAGAACGGCCCAGATGCCCGTTACCCAAAGAGTCGAAGGAAGTGGCGAATCCCCAACTTTTTGGCCTTGGAAGGCAGGGTAGCTGCATCGAGTTTCTTCTGGGCAAACTGTTCGTGGAGTTCTTACCAGCTGGCTGGAGTGTATGGCTGGTCGTATATACTGGCTTCCATCTTGTCATTGACTCCACATCTGGATGATGATCTCTTGGGTTTCAAAGCCGGTTGAGAGGGTTTCTCGGTGACCGCCGAATAGCATATCCTTGAACAAGTTCGCAGCTTTCTAGGAGTTGGGCCTGCCTGCAATCCCCATGCTCTGCTGCGCCGAGTCCAGTATTACACAGTAAACAGAGTCCCATCTTTCTCCATACCTCGTTTATAACTATATCACCGGTTACTAACGAATCCGTGGCAGAGGGAGCTGGAACAAACAAGCTTTCTTCATGGAAAAGGAGAGCAGAAAGCATTCCTTTGATGAAAGCCCTGTTCTGTTCTCCGCCCCTGTGCATTTTTGTATACGGTGAATAAGTAAACATGACGCACCCCACAGAACCGATCGATGAGACCCATACGTTGGCCCAGTTCAAATCTGAAATCTCAAACAGGCGTATATACACTGGAAATGGTGTAGCTCGTTTGTATGCTAGTTTTAGCGTATAATTGCATATCGACGGCAAATAGCAAGAGACTGCCGAGAGTGTATGTAACCCATGGGAGTATATCTACTCCGTGTCCCTTTCTTATCAAGAACGTCATTAAATACGTAAACGGAGCTCGTTGGCTGGGAGCCCTGCCGTAGCTGCGGGTTGGAGCATCTCGACTTCACCCCCTCCATATCTCAGGCGCACAACCTCCGAATAGAGATGGCACGAACAGAGAGATACGTCACAACGTTTTCGCAGGTCCTTGAGGTTGACAAGTGAGTCTGTGGCGTGAACGTCGTACTACGTCCCACAGCAGTCTCTGTCTAGACTAATCATGAATATCTCTGGCTACCCAGGATAACGGAAAGGCTCGAATATTCGACCAGTGAGGAGCAGGGAACCGTAGAAGCCGTTTTCATCCCGTAATCGATCCCTTACCGACTATCAGAATGAAAAAAAAAAAAAAGGAACTCCGAGGCGCTCGTAGCCATACACGTGAGACATACTGGATAAGAGTATGGAGTCTCAGGAACTGTTTGCAAGCCATGACAGCCATTATCACAAACATCAGGACGCATCTGCATAGGCTAACCATGGAAAGTGTTCATGAATCGATGGAACGCAGTGGCGGCGGTAGGCTCCCGCGGCTTTGGGCACCACAACGTCTGTTTACCCCCTGCCAACGAAGGATGTACTATGTATATCCCAAACCCATGCTGTCAAAGCCCCCAACCCAGAGCAAGTAGCCATGTATACGGGACTCCCTTGCTGGCCTGCTTGCTCATTCTCTTCTCGCCCATTTGCTCCCTGTCTCGGTCTTTTCTCATCCCCCTCCTTTTTTCTACTGGCTGTTCATCCGGACCTTTGTGATTTTTTGGTTAGTATTCTCCACCCCCTGTCCAAAGCAATATATGATCTCAATTCCTTGACCCCTAAACCCTCCCCGTTATCGGGCTCCGATCGCCTGGGCCATCTCCCATACCTTCGCTTTGCCCTGTATTGGTCAGATGATCGTTGATACCATGTAAAAATCCAAGACACAAGTCGGCAAATGACCGTCTTATACGGAGCAGACGCGTCATATATATGAGGGTTGCTTTTGTCTAGAATACGCCCCCGTCTATACTTTGTACACCAACAGCACCCTGGGATTGTAAATACTGTGCATGTATGGAGGAACAATTGTCGGTGAATAATCGGGGACTTCAGAGTATTTAGCGTTGCGGCTCAGGCCGGGTTTTGTTCTTCGACCCATGGTAAAATTCCTTTGGCCTTCTTCTGCGTTGGCTCATCAACTAGCGTCCCATACAATATTGCATATACATGTATGGCCAGTTCTCCACATCTCGAATAGTGCAATATGGTTTGTTCGCCTGCTGGCATGGACAGCGCGCTTGGTCGGCACACGAATGACGGCTTGGTGGTTGTCCATAAAGAGCGTGGTCAAACGCCACAAGTGCGCCTTGGGAGAACATTAGTACATATAGCTGAATTTCCCGCCGAGCTGAACTCAAACTTCGAAAAGGGAAAGTATCTTGAAGAATAAATAAAAGATAAATAGAAGGTGTCTGTCGGCAAAAAAGAAAAGTAAGGAAAAAAGAAACGCTTGGGCGCTTTAACTTCATCATGTGGGAAGCAGGGCAAAAAAGTTGTGAGCTGAAGTGTGATACGAAATAAAGAAAAACAGCGCCCCTACGTGATTCAGCAGGTTCAGTTCCCCCTGAGTCTTGTTTCTCGTCCGATTATCAATCCTTATAGTTGGAAATGATTATAAAGGCATCTTAGCTGCATATTCCTTTCTTCCATTTGGATGTAATATTGGAATGAAATAAGGATAGGCGGAATAGTGCAGGGTGTAGCGTGTGTGAGAGATCATCTTCTCTTAAATGATTCGAGGGGTTAATGATATAATGGAAAATGGCCATTGTCCCTGTGCCATTCGCCACGATACGACTCGCAGCTCTTTCATACTATTGCGGTTGTGTTTTGGTATGCGGAGGAGCATTGATTCTCGAATACCCACAGAGAACAAAGATGATACCCAGGTGTCGGTTGGTGCTCAGGTGGTCATTTCTATCATATTCATTACCGTTTCAGGGGTTCGAGGTTTCATGCAAAAGCCAAGCAGTCTCGATGACAATGCAGGTCAAGCGAAAAAGAAACTTGGCGGCATCAAGCAGGAGATTTAATTATTTACACATGCATGCGGATCACCGTTATCCGTTATGTGTATGTACTCCGTACGCAGCAGGTATGGAGTACGTGAGTGCAGTGCATGTGGTGTACATGTAAGTTATGTTGAGCCCGCTTTACCTGGAAAAAAAAATGTTAGTTAGGCATCAAAAGGGCGCAGACATAACAAAAACAACAATAAAGAAAAAGGAAAGATGGATATCAAAGTGGCGGGGAAAGATTTCGGGATAAAACAGCAATACCTCTCCCGTTACCCCCCCCATAAACCCAGCCTCTATGATATTATTAACGCGCTATGCGATGTTCATCTTAGTGAATAATCGAAATTATAAATGCATCAGATATATCTAGGGGTTATCGTCTATCCATGTCCGTGGGATGATATCCAGGGCAATTTTCCCAAAGATCAAGATAGGCTTCTCTTCCGGTATTCCCCGCGGCTTAGCGTCCATACATTCGATTGTGAGGCCATGGACAGGTGGAGATCTGAGTTGGGGGGACACTCCATAATTGTATATATACGATGTGATGAAGGTTGGCGATGGTCACCTAGCTGGGACATGGAATTGCCTCCCATCCATCCCACTGCGTCTCACCACCTCGTCTTCCCACTTTTATTGGCTGTGTGGGAGGCCGTAGTCCAAGGTAATATGTAGGCAGCTTCACTTGCCGAGGGCGTGTTCGATCTCGTGGCAGATGATAAACATATAAACGGCGTAGGACTCGAGGGCAAATGTGGTTGACGGGCCCATTCATGACGGCCGACCCCCTCCATCCCCGGCCACTGTCTCGTCTCATCTCTTTGATCCTTGTTTACACCATACCCTTGAGTTGTTATGCAGAGGGCTATAACTCAATTGCTGTCAATTTTTGAGCGTATGGTGGTGCGCGTGTTGACTGTATAGCTGAACGGAGAAATAATAGGTCGAGGTAGGCCATCCAACCGGAAAAGCTTGGAACGCAGGACGGCACCTGGATAGAGCAGCCATAGTATAAGAAGTATATGTCTATATATATACACATATAGCAATGGGTGTATAATATAGGTATCTGCCTGGGATATTAGATGTTGGAATTGTTGTCGTCATGGATGCTTGCGTGGGGGAAGATGAGAGAGCTGAGGTTTGCAGTCGATGGGGCCTGCATCGCCGTTTTTACCGTTTTCGTCTGATGTGACATTGGCTGATTGTCGTCATGCATTGTTATTACTGCCGTTATTATTATTATTATTATAGCAGCTGTCTCTATGTACGTACATATACAGAATAAGACATTAATTTACAATCTTGACATGTACCTTTTCATCCTGGACGAATCACCAACAGGATGAGGTTGGAAGTTGGCCAGAAACTAACATATTCCTGGCATTATACCATGTCCATATTACGATATTGACTGGCCCACCCGCTTCATGTATAATTCATTGACAGCATGAAATGATAATGTCATTTTCTTTCTACATAGTAGAATCTGATGTTGCATTTTGTATCCAATCTGATGCCACGAGAAAACCACTGAATTACATACATAGGGCTAGCAAGCGTATGTAGCAGGGGTGGGAACGAAGGATAGCATAGAAAGACTGGGTCTAGATATAGATACTCCCTTCGGCAAAGCGGCCAAGAGTCGAAAATAATCCACCTTGTTGTCTTTATAGTAGCAGGAGGGAGACAACAACTCGGTCAACGGCAAATAAGGGGAATTACACCTTGAAGACGGAAAAGGTAGGATGGCCCTCGTTCTACCTATCTCATCATATGCGTAAGCACGGCCCAGAGTCCGTCAAACCCTTCCGAACGATCCGTGGCGTTAAAGAAATCAAACCAGCGCGTTCGGCGAAGCACCAGGGATCGCCATTGTGATGACTCTGGGTCAGCATCTGAGCCTAAGCCTGCATCTGTATTGACAGAATCCGCTTTCCCCGTTTCAAGCCATTGAAGGTACTGGTCATAGACTCTGAGGTGAATGATAGAGAAATGATGGTTGATTGACGAGACCATGAAGACCTAGACAAGAAAACGTTAGCCAATACTTAGTATCTCCAAGTTTGATGCACGGCCATAACCCACATCATCAAACGGGCTGTCAACATCAGCTCCTATCTTTACATATTTCATCTTCTTATCCCACAAACCTGGGCCAGGCTGAACAGTTTTCCATTTCTCTACCATAGAGACCTTTCTATTCGGCCCTAAGCCTCGTCGAAATGAAATAGTCGACCTGTCGTGTTTTGTCCGTTTGTTTGCGGTGGCTTCAGGGTCCACTGGCGAACTTGAAGGCGCAGGCTCAGCCAGCTCCTCTGGGCTAGTTCGAATTGGCTCGCCAACCGGGCCGTTGTTCGGGAGGCCTCCCCACCGAGGCGTTGTGGCCCACCATTTTCCATCCCCAGGTTTGACTTCAGTTTTGTTTTCTCGCGCTCTTTCTTGAGCTAGTAGAAGCATGCCTGCTGTTTCACGTAAGACATCACATTTCTCGACATATCTTTGTTCGGTAGCGTTGTCATAGAACTGTGTTTCGGCTCGACACTGGGCAACAAGTACTGGGCCTTCAAGAATGCGTTTCCGTGCTTCTTGTCTATCCTGTGGAATACGTGAGACGTTAAAGCTCTGGCGCACGGGGAACAAAAGATCTTTGACAGCGAGACGAGGCGGCATTGTTGGCAATTTAATCTGGCAGCCAAGTGACCAAGCTACCATTTCCACGAGACCACGTAGGATATCTTCTCGAACCGAGTCAGGCATATCCGTTCCTGTACCAATTCTTCGACCCTTGTAGCGTCGGTTACCACTCGGGATTCTCAGCTTCATTTGGGGTATAGTGACTGGCGACTGATTATAGCTATATCTATTATCGACATCCATCCTGCTACCTAATACATTGTCTGGGGCTACACCCGAGGCTACACCCTTTCCGTGACTATTGGCTATCGTAGGATCCGTAGCAGCACAGCCAGAGTCGTTTTCAGTACTAATCTCATAATAGTTGTCATGGCTAGTATCCCAATATTGAGCAGCTTGTTGTAATGCGGTCCAGAACTTCCTCGCATGCGCAATCCGAGGATTCTTACGCCCTGGTGGCGGTTCAACACGTGCAAGGGAGCGGAATGCATCGTCATTGTCAAACAACAGCTCCTCCTTTAAGAGATTATGTTTGCTTTTGTCAGGAAAGGGAGCTCCATTGCTCAAGAAGATCGGAGCATCAATGGTTGCGTCCAGTTTTTCTTCGCCCTCCCCGGGACTATAATTTGGCCATTGGTAGGGAGGTTTAGGGTTCTGATCATGGTCTGGCACAATCCTGGAAGCATCAACATCAGGTACCACCTTAATATTAAACGCCGCTAGATATTCATCTGTAATATCTTGGGGTTTTTTGGCACCGGCCAGCAAGCGATAGAGTACATCACAGCCCTTCTCATCATGAGGTCCGTATGAATTCAACCTGCCATATTCCGGGAATTGGACTGTAGTTGGTAACGGAGGCGGCTCACGCTCCTCTTCCAAGTTAACGTAGAAGCTTGGTACGGCTGTTATGTCAAATTGTTAGTCGTTCATTGTAGAATGAATATAATTTTCCGGCCCAGCTTTGGCAGAATGTATATAGGGCCCCAGCTACACAACAATAAAAGATTCAAATGGAAGTGAACGTCCAACACGAGGAGGAAGGGTTCCGAGAGAGAAACTCCATGAAGAAAAGCAATATTCCCAATTGCTTGCGAACAGCCAATGGATTAGAAAGAACCAAGAAGCTTACCCAGACCACCTCCCCAGCTGAACATGGCCACCGATACGCCTTTGAAGACGGCCTTGGCTAGCAAATATAGCAAGGTAGGATTGATTGGCGGCAGCACACAGACTGAATAGAAGGATTAGATGGACAAGTTCATATGACCCTCGGTGTTTGTTTGGTTGGTAGAAGTTAAGACTGTCGAGATGGGTGTAACAGGTAGATACTCTGGCAAGATGGTAATGATGCGGGCTTTTTATGAACGGGGTAGCCCATAAGAATATGACTGCTATATCCGCAATCGAGCCTCGGAACTGTGCAATAATGCTGGCTTCTGCTTGAGTTGAAGACGGAGAATGCCAGATAGCTTGTCGAATCTCGCCAGTAACAACCAGATGGCTTCGGGGCTCACTCAAGCTTGTGTAGCATGATAATATTGTTTATTGACTAGCAAAGGGAGGGTAGACAGTAATAATGACAGATAATATTGTTATGCCCAAGCGAGGGATTAGAGAAGATGCCTTATGGTCAGGGATGTTGGCGCCGGAGCAGCATGAAACTTGCCAACAGCAACCACCGGCTTAACAATATCTGGCAAATAACCACAGATTTCACAGCCAGTGAGAGTAGGGCATTGTCGTATACAAATACCCACATGAGGCTGCAGGAATACTCTGCATTCTTTCTAATTAATACGTCGGAATAATATCAACTTCAAGTTTCATCAGCTCGAGGTCAGAGTACGGTCACGTGGCTTGTGAAGATCCAGCGATGGTTTCCAACTTCTCATCAAACATAAGTTTTGTTCTCTCCATGCCCTTCCGACGATATATGAGGCCATCTGGGGCATGCACCTAGTATCAGTCCCTCTACAGAACAAGATAACATGTATGTGATTGTTTGAAAGACTTCAAAATTCTTCTCAAATGCGGTTGTAGGAGAATGGGTTCCGGATATGCAAATATATCACGGAGCCATATCTCATCCCTCATGAGCTTCGAACAAGATACCCTATGTCTATATTCGTGGGTTTTCAACCTCAACACTCTGAAACCCTGAATTATCATGTGGAATTTTGGGCATCGGAGCAGCAGTACCGCCCAAACTGCTCTCCCAATGCCGTACCTGTTTTGGTTATTTCTTGCCTATAACCTACTAATGGAGGACATAGGTGACACTGCATTGCCCCTATGTTGCCCGTCTCAATCAAGACATTGTTCTGGGTAACAATTATTTTCTTCCCGCAGCCAACCTGCAGCCTCCCGACATCTCTGCCACGGCATAAAGACCCTCCATTCATACGCCCAACTCAAAACTACCCGTCGGGCAGGTAGCCGTGTCAAATGGAAGTTTCGTCCCGTTGAAATGTCACTCTCTGGCTGTCTTTGAGACTGGCGTCTTCTTTGTGCAATTTGTTTTTTTCGCCCAATTCTCAATGGGAAACCTGCAATGATCGACCCGTCACCCCAAGTTCATGCACTTGACCCTGAATCGCATCAAGAATGAGGATAATATGGGGCAAATCACTTCGGATCGTTCCGAAGCCTACTTGCCCCCCCCCCCAATTTCTTTCATCCACTGACTACCTCTTATAACGAACTTCCGGGGATCTGTGGCTTGAGATCACTGAATCGATGCTCCAGCCTGTAATTCTATTGAAATTTGGCCGAGCATGGTTCTAAGACTAGTCTCATGTAGACATGCGGGATTCCTATGACTTCCATGGCTCCTTGTTTACCTGTTAGGGAAAAAGTTTTCACTCCAGCTTGTGAGCTGAATGTGCGATAACATATTAAAACCCTTGTCAGGGCACATCGTCTTCTTCATCTGCGGTCTGAATCAGGTTATACGTCAATAGATTTTACATTACCAGTATGGCTCCTCGGGCCCATTCTTATATATATATTCGCTCCACCAGCCAGGGCATAGCAGGACAGCGGACTTTGATTATTGCTTGCTCCATAGCTGCCATCGGAGTCCTGTTAACAGTCTTCATTTTTCTGTTTGGCTGTATTTGGCGTCATCACCTGAAAAGTCCAAAATTCAGGTCACCGTCGCAGCTTAAGCTGCCGCGAGGAGTAGTCGAGCCGAGCGCTGAATATAATAATACCGATCAAATTTATGAGCTACCCATTCAAGTCATCAAGCCATCACCGTGCATTTTGCCATTGAAGTTGAAAGAGTCCGATATTATAACTCCCCAGATCCCAGTTCCAGCCTCTCGATACCTCCATCCGCCGAACCCGTCAAGTTTTCAGAACCGATCATTTTCTGACTTTCAATGTAAACGGAAATGCCCACCCAGACTTGAGCCTCTGCCCGAAACAGGGTCAATTACATATACCACTGTCCGTGAATTTGAACAGACCCCAAATAGAGCGTTTGATATGGAACAGGAGAAATATGACTCCAGGGAATTCCGCGGCTCCCTCGACGAATTATCAACCATATCAAATCATCTCAGCCTATCTACGGGCCCTACACGAACCGTGTTAGCTCATACCTATCCAGATGATTCTCACCATCTTATGGATAATGCAATACCAAGCCCTTCCCTTTATTTCTCGGCCAGTATCGATATTGAATCCTTGATGTTTCCGCCCGAGGTCGATAAGCCAGAATCATGCCTGCTTTCCAGGTCAAGGACTAAAAGTAGCAGTGTCATTATACTCCCGGGGAGTAGCCCTGACTCTAAGACGAACACAAGCGGCAGCAGCAAACCACTGAGAGCAACTCCATCTATTATCTCTCGCTGGCGGAAAGTTCGAGATATGACTGATTATCAAAACGAGGATGTGTGTACGCCTGAATGCCCTACATCACCTGCTTGGTCAGAGCATTGTTCGATCTTAAGCAATCTTAAAATCGAAGAGAAGGTCGACGAGTGACGCATTCCAGACATGCATTGATGCTTATAGACATTCTCAAGCCGGTGTTACCTTTATTTTAACATCAATTCCTGACCCCCAACTTCCACTCTAGCTTAGGTTTCAAAGAAACAGATATTTGTTATTTAGTAGTAATTTTAATTCCCGTGGAATTCTGTGCTAATTCTTTCAGACCCCTATTGTGGACTTGCATTGGTTTTGTATCATGTATCTTGCTCAATCGTCTCACTGTTTAAAATGACAGTAGCAAGAAAACTAACATCCCGTGTAATCCGTAGTAGATCCATGAAGAAAATCTTCAAACGAACAACAAAGGTAACAGTAGCAGTATAGTGGGCATAAATTCCATTTCATTATTTTTTTGTTTCGAAAATCAACATGAACTCCCTTGCCCACTGACCAATACCGACAAGGAGAAGTGGGATGGAGGAAAGTGGAAATAACACATATTGAAAGGTTGATGGGTGATTTATGCCTCCTCTACGTCTTCACCAATGAGAGCATTCCGCTTAGCGGAAATACGCTCTTGTCGTCTCTCACGGGCAGCCTTGGTCTTAGCACGTTTGGCATCCATCTCCTCCTTGAGGGCACGTTCACGTTGTTTCTCGGCCTTGGCCTTGTGGATCTGTAGGCGCAAATATTAGTATTGCTTCTAAAGGAGTAAAATGTATCGCACGGGGGAAGCCATACATGTTCAACGAGGGCACGCTTGTGCTTGAAGGTGTTACCCTTGCTCAAGTGGTACAGCTCGTGGTAAAGGTGCTTGTCGATTTTTCCGGCAGCACGGTATTTGGCAAGTAGTCGTCGGAGAACTCTTAGACGGCGCATCCACAGAACTTGGCTAAAGAGTGGAAATTCTGTTAGCTACCCTGGGTTTCCCGGATCCTCTCCTTCCGTTACTCTGGAAAAGAAACACTTTCGTTTGACGATGATGCCGGCAGGTGTATCCTTTTTCATCTAATATTGGAACTGTTCAAAACTTTACAAAGAGGAACGTACCTTGGCATTCTGGCGTCCTTGGTACCCTTCCTCTTACCGAAACCTCTGTGTCGGCCGTTTCGTCGGGCCTCTGCAAGCTCGCGGGCACGGGAGCGCGAGTGCATGGTGACAGGCTTGTGGATGATGAGTCCATCACTGAGGAGTTTGCGGATGGTCTGGCGAGAGTTGGCGGTAGAGATCTCGTTGACCTCGCTGGGGTCAAGCCAGATCTTGCGTTGACCGCAGCCGACCACGGAGGCGGCCAGGCGCTTCTGAGTGCGAAGGTTGACCCTAATCAAGACGCAGAAAGGGTCAGTCACAGGTACTTCTTCGCTTCCATCTCGATATCACAAGAGCGACAAATTTTCTCTCGCCTCGGGTTTCATTGACGAAAATTTCTGCCACCAAAAAAAGGAGGGGGACGCAGTGTGCGTTCGAGGAAGAAGGTATCGGTAGCAAGCCTTCGATCCGATGAAGCAGCACGGGGAACTCACATCTTGATGCCGGTTTGGTTGTCGATGGCCGAAGGAGTGGTGGAATTGCTGTTCTGAATCCGCAAAATCGACAAAAACGAACCAAGAGGTGGATGTTTCGTTCTTGATTAGCTAAGCGAGTGTGACTTGCTAAGCGAGCCCACCAAAAAAGTCCGCGAGTTAGGGTTTTAAGGAGCTATTCCTCTTTTGGACATACTTAGTAATAACACGTGATATGGTTTTTCTCTCCCAACCTGTACATTTTTTTTTTTATATCTAGAAAGGGGGAGCTTTTTTATCTAAAAGAAGAGACGATACAACCTCGACGCTGTCAGGCTGTATATGCTGTCTATTTACTCCGTAGATGGTTTAATCATCGCTGAAGGATTCCCCAAGGTCCACCCTGCCTACGCTCCATACCTCCTTTTCGTCTTCTAGCTCATCGCTTGAGAGACCTAGGCCTCCTTGCCCACCCTCTGCCTCTCTCCTCTCTCGCGCTTGGCCTCCTAGTCGGAGTGCTACACGCTTAAAGTAGTCTTGCATGCTCCGTTTAGGCCCAGCTGGGAGCTCTGCTCCTGGGCCTTTCATGTACTCTTCAAAGACAGCTCCTTCGAATTCAACAACCGAAAAGATAGCCAGGAATGCGGCTTCAGCAGCCAGCTTGATGGGGATGGCTACATCACGAACACCCCCGAAAACAGGCGGCACCACAAAGGATCTATGAGGTGCAATCATCTCCTGGTTCTCTCTACTCACCGTTCGTAACACTACCAACGCCAATCGTCGAGTGTCGACTGGTTTACCCGGCTGCACTATGGCTGCTAAAGCTTCAAACACCTCTCTCTCGTCTTCAGGCTTCCGGTCTACGTGGGAAGACAGAAGATATTTACCAGCCGCGAGGACACCGTTATTAGATATGAAGACCTAATTATCCTGTGAGTGAATGTGCTATTTTATAGATTTGAGGAAACATACATCGCTGTTTTTAATAGCATGGCAAATTGCTGAAGGTAACTCTGATCGAAAGTTTTCACTTAACAGCGCAGGTGACTCAACGAGGATGGCGTTCAGTCGCAGGATAGATTGATGTGTCAACTGCGTTGAAAGTATCCGGTTTCTAGACGTACTATTAGCCTTAGTCCCATTTAAGACAAGTTAACTTATGCATACTTGATAAGCGGAATAGCCGTGGGAGTAGGGAGTGATTTGATCAGAGCTCCAGCAAGTCTGGCGTTCGCTATGGTTGTGGCAGCTATAAATATATTAGAATATATCATATTGAGGCGCTGTGCCAAGAAATCGGGTATATAGTACCATCATCTGCAGAATCATTATCCACAAGACCAAGCACAGCTTGTCTTGATGCTTCGCTCATGTTTGAGCCAGCTTTATCAACCACATCGTGTAGCGCACGTAACATTGCATTCTTGACCCCAGAATCGGTAGTTTTGGAACCAGTGATAAGTTCTTCGGCCATATTAGTAAACTATGATTCTAATAATACTGTAGATATGTACGCACCTGCAACCAGGGGATCAACTCGTGGCGTTAATGTGATCAGGATTCCTAATCCTTTGGCGGCTCGTGTCCGCAAGGTCTCACTCGACGTATCTGCCAGTCCCCTTGCAAAAGTTCTTTGCAGCTGGGGTAAGAATGGTTTGACAAATAGAGGGATCTTTTCCAGCAGCTTGTCAAGAGCAAGGAAGATTGCGCCTACGATATTGGTTAGCTATCGGGTGATATATATAAGTTGGAAGGGCCATACATTTGATGTCTACGGATCTTTCTGAGACAACACGAATTAAAGGCCCTGTAATTTGAGTCACGAACGCTTTTAGTGATTCCGGGCTAGTTCGGTCAATGATATCACCAATCGCTAGCGCGGACTGCGTGCGCTGTTCGATGTTTCCATTCAGTAAGCCCTGAAGGAAAATAGGGAGTATGGCACCGATTCCCTTTGGTAGAGAGAATCCTGCCAGATTAGACCCTGGTACACCGACTAGTCGTAGTACCTGACGTGCTGGGTTCACAAGGACTTCCATCTCCTCTTTCTTCATGCTCTTGGTCAGCTGGTTAAGGCCCTCCCAGGCTGCCTTGACAACACCCTTATCGTGGTCATCAAAGGAGATCAGAAGTACACGTATCAGCTCTGGGTAGAATCGAGAGATATCCAGTTCTGTGTTGGTAAAAAATGTGGCTAGATGCATAGCCGCGCTCGCACGTCGTCGGTGATCGTCATGTTTCATCAGTGTGAGCATCACGTTCATGGCAACATTTAATCCGTCAAACTCATCCACCGAGTCAAGTACGGTGTCAAATGCCTCGCTTATTTCCAACTTCAGATCATCGTCCTTTGCAGAGATCATCTCGTCCATTAGGGAGTTCAATATGGTTGGTAACCTTCTATTCATTCCACCTCCCGCAACTTTAGAGAGCGATGCCAATGCTTTCGCATTGAACCCGGTGATTGGCTTTGTCAATAGAGTGGGAATGAGATTTGGCAATATGATGTTGGCTCTAGTTGCCTCGGTCAATAGAGTAAGAAGAGCAGAGAGAGCTTGTTCAGCATCATTCTCGTTATGCAACAAGTGTAGGAGGTCGGGCAGAACCCTGTCGACGATTCTCTTGCCCAACGATTGCTGGAGTGCGTCGAAAGCTTCCGCAGCAGCCTCACGGACCTGGTTGTTGGTATCAACCAGAGCGGTTTTGACGATAGATATAAGTGGTTTCTCGTATGTCTCAAGTGATTCGTCGGAGGAAGAGACCACAAGCTCTCGAACTGCCAGACATATGCCTTGTCTTCCATCAATATCGGTTGAGGTGATGAGACCTTCTTCCAGCTCCGGTAGCAAGGTAGATAAGACTCCCTCGCCGGCCTTCTTAATCAACTCTCCTAGTGCATTTCCAGCGATAACCTTTTGCTCCATATTTGAGCTGCCCAGACGTCGGATGATAACTTGAGAAAGAGTTGGTACCAGCTCTTTCAATGTACGTGGCGTAGCTACTAATGCCTTCCAAACATTGATGGCAGCACTCCTAACCAAACCTGAAGTATCGCAGCGGCAAATGTAAAGAGACGAAAGTACTTTGTTGCGCCTCTCTTCGCCGAGTACTTCAAGAAGGGACTGACCAGCTTGGATTGCGGAATCTATTTCTTCGTCTCCGTCGCTTGCACTGGCGCCTGTTAAATTAAATAGAAGGTCACCAATGAGCTCCACAGAGGAAAGACGGATTCGGTAATTGTCGTTAGCTAAACCACGTTCAAGCTCAGGCAAAAGCAGGTCAATTGACCTTGTGGAGAAATTCTTTACTAGTAACCGTCCAGCTCGGAGAGAAGTTTCTCTTATCGATTCAACTTCGTCCGCTAGACCTACAAGAATTGGGGGGATAATTCGGCTCAAGTAAGCTGCAAAGCTATTACCAAAGCACGCAGGAAGGAAAATGAACAGGGTCATAAACCCTTCTCGGACTGTTGCCTTTGAACTGGAGACATTTTGCAGAAGTGACGGCAGAGTATCCTCCAAACGAGACGTGCCCAAGCCAGCAAGCACTTCCGCAAGAGCCTGAGCAGAACCCATTCGGTCTCCAGCCCCAGCCTCTGATTTGAGGGTCGCCATGAGACTGGGGATGAGGTCTGGAAGAGTATCTTCTCCAAGTTTCTCAATAAGAGAACCAAGGGCCTTCGAGGCCGTTGCACGAGTAGTAGGCACGGGGTCAACGACAGCAGTTTTCAGCCCAGCAACTAGAATTGGTAAATGGGAGATCAAGTCCTTGCGCTCGGTAAGATGGGCAAGACTGCCAATGATTTGTGCTGCCTTTCGCTTGGTCGTCGACCGATCGGCCAAACCTCGCTCGAGAATTCGCACCACCAATGCTAACGATGGTGCATCAAGATAATGGACGAACGAAATCTTAATCAATGCATCCAAAGCTTCATCGGTGTATTTAGTTGGATCACTTAGGGCCTTGAGCAAAATTGAAACCAAACTTTTCACTTCCGGATTGCTTATGACATCTCCAAACCGCTGTAAACTTCGATTAGCAGAGTTGCGAACCTCCTTATGACTGTCATTTAAAACCTCCGTAAGCGGAGGTATGATATCTGGAAGGTTAAGAGCAAGCTGTTGGGGATCAAGATAAGCCATAGCCCCAAGTAAGTCGCAAGCTCCCTTTTTACTTCTCCATTGAGTATCATCCAGGCCCTCTAGTAATGTTGGGAGAATCTGCTTAACACCGAAGGAGCTCAAGCTTGCAAAACATGCCTTTGCAGCGTCTAGACAAGCATCACGGACATCAATACTTGGGTCACCGAAGCTTGTAAGCAATTGTGGCACGATCCGTATGACATATGGCTCAAATACACGGCCGAGAACAAATGCAAGAAGTTCATATGCAAGAACAGCCCCTTGCCTTTGGTTGGATTCTTTCTTGTTTTCAGATGCCTCCGTTAGGCGGGACATAATTCCAAAGTCACGGAGTGCCAGTATTCCTTTACCCCGGACGATACCCGCCAGCCCATAGGCTGCTCCACGGCGCGCTGCATACTTTTTAGACGTAAATAGCTGATCGAGTAGCTCCTGCACAAAATGGCTCGCATCAGAACCATCCATTCTAATGAGCGGGATAAGGCACTCGGCGACAGCAAGTTGCACTGTTTCTGAGGGGGTCGATAGAGCATCCATAAGTTTGCGGGTGACTTTCTGAATGCGTTTATCTCCAGAAACCAAATGCTGCGCAAGCGATCCATAAAGAATAATGACAGCTTCGTTAAGCCAGTCCGACTGCTCAGTTTCTTTATCAGACGTTTCCAATGTGGTTTCGAAGATATTCATCAGCTCCTCAACTTTCTCGCGTCCACGCGAGGTAATAACAGCACTCCCACTCTCAGCCATTTGTCGTCGGACGGATGCGTTGCGATCTATCAATGGCCCATCGTCAATCAAGAACCGGAAAAATGATACGATACCATCCCCGTTGAAACCGCTAGCCATGGCACCAAAGGACAGTGCAATTCCACTCCGGACTTCCCAGGGATCAGCTTGATCAGCCTTTCTAGGCATTCCGTATGCATCTGTCTGTACAGGCTTCATGCGTACTTCTTCCCGATACATCGATTCCAACTTGTTGAGTGTAGTAGAGAAAACAGAAGGGCATAGCTCACATGCATGAGCGAGGGCAATGGCAGCTGCTGATCGTAGCGGTAGGTCATCAGTTGCTAAGTGTTTGATGATCAAATCTGGGGATTGTTCATCAACATCTAAAGCATTCTCCTCCCAAATTTCTTTGGCAATTTCAGCATTTTCGGCCACATTGTCATGATATGCAATCCAGATGTACTCAGAAAAGTCAATGTCCGTCAAGTCTATTTCAGATAATATACTCTGAAGAACAGCGGTCCGCACTGGTATCTCACGGGATATGGATCCTTGGAGTAAGGTTTCAAGCTCTACGGGCTGTATACTGGCCGCCATAGTCCTGCAAAGATCCGAGAGGGCATCTCTAACTAATTTATAGTGCTCTGTGTGTTTTCGCATGGAGTTAATGAGGAGACGTAGCGTTTCAACTCTAGGCAGCCGCATGTCAGAATATGAGTTCGCGTGGAAAGATATGAATTCCAGAGCCAGGAGGACCTGCTCTCCACTATCATCCTTCGACTCCTCAATCCCGTCGTTTTCCAAAACTATGAAAATTAGGGGAAGTATATAGCTAAGGGAGACCACATCTAAGGGGCGTTGCTCTGAAAGAATTCGAAGACGGTACAATATTCGAGTTATGAGGCCTATCAACGCATACAGGTCAGCAGTGTTTACAACGCCCTAACTAGAGGAATAACTTACTCCCAAGGGGCTCTGTTTCGAGCTCGTTTCTTAAGAATGTCTTTCCTACAGCTCTAAGGGTAGCAATAGCAACGAATGGTCGCATCTCTCCGATACGGGTAGACGCTTTTTTGCCGCATGCAATTAGAGCCGAAGAGATACTATCACCGACTATGACGCCTCCTCCGAGCTGTGCCAATTTGCATAGAGAACTGCAAGCAGGGTTAATCCAACCTTCCGCATCAGTTGGGGGGCTATTAGCTAAGCTCTCGATTATTCCCGCTCCTCGTTTGATCATTTCTTCAGCAGCGTTGACAGCATCTCGGATTTCAGACTCCTTCACCAGCTGGGCATTAACTTTAGCTTGTTCATCCGCAGTTAGCTTCCTTTGCTTTTGGCCATGCTTCTTAGCAACTTCAGCCCGCAGTTCTTCTTCCCACTTAAGAGTGTCGTAGTCCTTAGCACTCTTGCTGGGTAAATTCTTAGCCTTGGTATCCAACACATCAATAAACGGCGTGTCTCCTGTGTGGCGAGCGATGGCGATATCTGTGGCCGAAAATTGTGATACCCTCTCGGGTTTAAGATCATCATAGAATTGCGATACAAGCTTTGGTATCATAACATCTGGCGCAACAAAACCAAGGTCAGCAGCAGCATTCCAAGATGCCTGTCGAGCTTCCACTATCTTATTGTGGAAATGATCCTATATATTATTAGATAACGTAGTTCTTCCAACTCTCTGGCAAAGATGAGTACTTACGTCAGTTGAGAGTAGTATTTGATTTAAACACTGGTCGGGATATTCGAGGGCTAGTTTCCCGGGATCAACCCCCATTTTCAAGCATACGTTAATCCAACTAGTTCCTGGAACTAATTCAGGACGGCATAAGACGAGTAGCTGAATACATTGGGATTCGAGATCATTCTTATTTATAGAATCATAGCCTTCCATCTCTGACACTGCTGGAGTCATTGCTCTCACAACATGAGAAAGATGTGATTTTCCAGTCCCTGAAAGCACCGCAGCGGCCTCCTTATCCATAGTATCCAGATGATATAGCCATTTCCATATGGCATTTATGACAGTGGTGCCTATTAAAACCGTCTCCTTAAGGTAACATTGTCGTAACAGGTCAATTGCACATTGTCGAACCTTTGGAGACGAAGTATAAGAGCAGATCATGTACATGAATGCTTGGGCCCAGGCTTCTTTAACTTGAGCGTCAGAGATTGAGAACTCTGGCTGCATAGTCACCGCGAATAATGCTCGGAGGTTCCATTCTAATTCCTCAGCAGACGATAGTTTTGTATAGATTTTTGGGTTCAGTAAAAATGATGGCTTGGGTAAAACCGATACGGCAGTCGTGAATATATTATCCTTTGAATAGGGTAGACTATTCTCACTTCGGAACTTCTGGAATGATAAAGCAGTAAAGACATTGGCCATTGAAATTGCTCCACCTTGTAACGAAGGAAGCGGGTTCGCAGCAATTTCGGTAAATAACTTGTGTAGCCTGGTCATAATTGGTTGTAAGCACTCTTTGCTAAAGGTCTCGGACGGTAGCATAACAGAGTTATCAGAGCTCCAGAATAGCTCGCCCATGTTCACAAGCCAGAGCTTGCGAAAGCCAATGCGCTTATCATCGCATCCCTTGATGACAGTACTGCAATGTTCCTTGCTGACATCGGTACCCGAGGCTACAACAAAGGCGAGGTGGTGGCAGAAGGACTTAATCTCGGGCTCCAACGCAACCTCACTGCTTTCGCGGAGAAGGGCAGGGGAAAGTCCTGTCAGAATAGCCTGAGATGTATTGGAGGAGCATGGTACGGCTCGTAAAACTTGCGCTTGAAGGGCGCGTTGTTCCACATTTGTGATTTTCTGCGTTTTCAGTGGAGTGATCACCTCATCTACGACCTTGAGAAGTGATTTCTCATCGCAGCATCGGGGTATGAAGGTTTCGAGCGCTTCAACGGCACCCTTTCGAATGACTGCATTCGTAGATTTGATGTTTGAGAGCAGTGGCTTGCAAATGGAGGAAGAGAAAATCTCAGAAAGATCAATATTCCCAGGAATTGCGGAAATAAGAGAGGCGAGTACACCGGCAAGAAGGATTTCGGGGCTCCTGAGAATGGCTTTTTCTATAGCAGGCCAGATGTACTTTTGGAGGTCCTCCTTTGTAGAAAAAGATATAAATAGGTCCCTGATTCCATAATAGGCATGTCGAGGAACTGGGCTCCTGGAGGCAACGATTTCCTTGGTATAGAACTGGAGTATATCACCTTTCACGGCATCCAAGTCATTCTTCCTGTTTGGCAGACGAGCACAAACACCACAGATAACTCCTAGTGTAGGGGCATTTTTAAAGCTTGAAGGCGTCTCTTTCGTCAAGTAAAGAACTACATCACGCACCAGATTGCTGCCATGCGGTTCTGCAGAAAATACAGCACGCAATGCCCGTCGAGTCACTATTATCGCAGAATGTCTCAGACTCTGCTTTTTCGAAGTCCCCAGACAAATGTCAAGGGCCTTGCTGATGCCAGATACTGTCTCCAGAACCAAGGGCGAATGATCTTCGAGTCGTGTGCTCAGGTGCTGTAGCAGTGTAGCGCACCATTCTACCAAGACAAATGCATTCGCAGCCGCTACTGCAGGCTTCGACGTTTCCTTTCGAAGGAGCTGGGAGAAGACCGGAAGGTCTACACTCGGTACCGAAGGGAAGAGGGCTTTCGCACAGCGTTGGGCAGCATGGCGGGATTCACGGTCGATATAGACAGGATATGTTCTGAACAGCAGAAGTAGAACCTGCTTGTATAACTGTGGAGGCAATTGCGAGTCTATACGATACCATTAGCCTACATAAATGCTCGGTATATTATCATCCTTCTGGTGAATATTTACACTTACCACTGGCAATGCTGTCGTGCAGCTGATGTAGCAGCTGGCAACGCAGCGACGTAGAACTGGAAAATACCACCGGCTCCAAGGGAGTAATACTCCCTTTTTTTACTTCATCCCACTGTTCTTCGTCCATCTTCGTGTTAAACTGCGCATCCCGCACTCCGCAGGCAGGCAGGGCTTTTTGTGCTGGGCGTTTTGCGATGGTTGTTGTGATCTTTTGCTGGCCCGGAGAATCGTTGGTGCCTTTAGGGCTTCCACCAAATTTTTTTATATCCAAGTTACGAGTCATCAACATCAAATATTCAACCCAAACTAAAAAAGGATTTGATAACTCTCGCTCGTTTTCTTCTTTTTCTTCTTCTTAAATCGTTATCACTTTGGATTCCTACTTAGAGAGTCTTTACTCTAACGGCGAGCGTCTACTGTTATCAAACTGCCCCTCTATCAGCTACTAGTTATAACTGTTTATTAATCTATGGCTATGGGCTTCATCCACGATGGCGCCCAATAAGAAGAAGAAGAAAGCAGCCTCTAATCCGGCACGAGGATTTGCAACCGTCTCTGTGCCATCTAAAGTGAAGCCTCAAAGCTCTACTGAGCCAGCAGAGCCTGAAAGTGCTGCTGGTTCTGATGTTTTGTCGGATAAACCGCCAGCAGAGGCTTCTCAGGACGCAGATGCTGCTCAAGCGGCCAGTCACAAGCCTGAACTGCATGAACTGACTCCTGACGAGCTAGAACGGTATCTGGAAGAAGCGGAACTGCAGGCTATCGTCGACAAGCATGGCATTAAATGCAAGGGTGATGCTGCTCGCTACTCTATCAAACTGGCGGCTGAAAAACGCCTCCTACGATCCCAGGCAACGCTGGTGGATAACATTAGCGACTGGCTCTCGCCAGACCTTCTAGACAAAATACTCGAGAAGGAGAAGGCAGAAGCAAAGAAGCAGCCTGTCGTGTCGAACAAGACAGAGTACAATAGACAACTCACTCTCCCTGTTGAGGAAAATGTGTGTATTAACATGTGGATTCTTCGTCTCACTCTCCTGGAACTCGGTTTCCAGGAGGCAGACATCGATGTGACATTGAAAAATCTGCTGATACATGGGCCGTTGGAAAAAATATCTGGAAAGGATCCCATCCCGGCCTTGGACCAAGCATTCTACTACCTAGCACTCTTCCTAAACAAGGACAGCTTGACTGCATATGACAAGAGCAAACCGTTGGAAAGAATAGGTAAGGTTATCACTGTTGGTGAAGATGCAATCAGTTTACTGCCAGAAAGAATTGCCTCGAGGAATTCTAGTCCTGTGAGCCATACGCGGTGCAGCACACCAAGCAAGTCTCCAGAGGCCATCTCTACGCGTATTTCACGCCCTCCAAGCCCGGAATCTGAGGGAGATAGCAATCTCCATGACCCGGAAATGCTAGTGCCCGAATTCCTTGCTCTGCGATCAAGGCTCTATGAACTCGATCCTTCTATGTTCAACAAAACAAAGTCGAAAAAGGTGGCAAAACAGGGCTCCAAACAGACACAAGATCAAAGCCGTCATCCTACTGTTGCTAACATTAAAAGAAAACTTGCTCGAATTGAACAAGATATTTTGTTTGATGCGCATGAAGCAGAGGAGCGCTGGGCAGAAAGGCTAGAGGAGCTCAGACACGCAACTGGAGAGAGTCTGAGAAAGAGCCTTAGCTCCCCGAAAGTTATTCCTAATGTCTTGGATACGGAGCTCAATGAAACGCCCGCAAAGGATACCCTATCTGAGGAAGATGAAGGACTTTTCGGTGAAATGTTTGACTCGGGCATAAATGACACTAAAGGCCAGCCTCTACTCGGGGTTACAAATACCACTATCAAACTAAGAGACTTTGGAAAATCGGTGGGAATTAGTCCAAGAAAAGCTTTGGAGGATGCGTGTCGGGCCAGGTTAGATGTACATCTTTCCCATAAAAAAAAAGACCCCTGGCTAACATCCTATATGTAATAGGGATACAAATTGTTCACTAACATACCATGCCCTATCCACCTGTGCCTTTTCACATCGCAAGGCACTGGAAATAAAATGGTCAAAGGATCAAGATATTACCTTTGAGACACCGCTCAATGACGTCCAATATAGCATTTCTCCCCAATCTCTGATCCTTTATATGACGGGTATAAGCGCTGCATCGGATCTACAGGCCGAATCATACATCTCAACCGTTGCTTTGTTTGTATTGCTTTCACATGCCTGGAAGGAGAGTAAAGCATCTGTTAAACTTACGGGTATATGGAAGGATGTTTGGGATGAGATAGTTCAGGAAAAGAAAGAATATGACGATAATGCTGATAAGCAAACCGTTAAAATTATCAAGGGATATATCCAAGAATACGAAAGTCGTCTCGAGGAAGATGTTGTGCTTATTCACAACTTTAGGCAAAGAAATGGCACTGGAGATGTTACGCCAGCAGAGGAAGTTGTACAGCGGAAACATAACTCTGATATATTATCTCCTGACCTTCAAAGTCTCTGGACCGATCGGAGTTCGTCTCCCAGCTTCCAGAGGATGACAGAATCAAGGGCAGGGCTTCCAATATGGTCATTCAGAGGTCAAGTTATCGATGCTCTCGCCAGAAACCAGACGATTATCATCTGTGGAGAGACTGGGAGTGGGAAGAGTACGCAAATACCTTCATTTATACTCGAAAATGAGCTAGCATCAGGCAGAGAGTGCAAAATATATGTCACAGAACCCAGACGCATATCCGCAATTTCACTAGCGAGAAGGGTAAGCGAAGAGCTCGGTGAAAATAGAAACGATATTGGGACAAACAGGTCACTTGTGGGATATGCGATCAGGCTGGAGAGCAAATTCACGGCCTCTACACGATTGATTTTTGCGTAAGTGCCAACTCAACTACTTAGGTTTGTAGCCATAGTTACTTACTTTCTCTCTTCAGGACCACCGGAATCGTTATCAGGATGCTAGAGAGACCCCAAGATTTCGATAATGTTACTCATTTGATTTTAGATGAGGTCCATGAACGGACAATTGACGGAGATTTTCTTCTAATTGTCCTCCGTCGATTGCTCAACAGTCGAGCTGACCTGAAGCTGGTTCTAATGTCCGCGACTGTCGATGCTAAACGCTTTTCCGGCTACCTAAACGGCGCCCCTATTTTGAACATCCCAGGCCGCATGTACCCCGTAGAAACCAGGTACCTGGAAGATGTTATTGAGCTAACGCAATACCGGCCTGACAAAATTGAATCATATACAGATGGAACTGAGGATACTTCAGATGATGAAAAGTCGTCCGCTGCAGAAGACAGCACCACATTGAAATCAACCCTCGCCAACTACAGCAAACAGACTCAGACTACCGTCTTATCGTTTGATGAGTATCGTTTGAACTACAACCTCATCACTAATCTCCTTTCAAAAATTGCAACTCACCCAGAGCTACTAGAGTTCAGCAAAGCAATCCTAATATTTATGCCAGGTCTTGCTGAGATACGCCGGCTGCACGACGAAATACTGTCAATTCCGGTGTTCCAAAGTGGTTGGGTTATCCATAGTTTGCATTCATCGATTGCTAGTGAAGACCAGGAAAAAGCATTCATAGTCCCCCCGCATGGCATGCGGAAAGTAGTGATTGCTACAAATATTGCAGAGACAGGTAAGCACTGTGAAATTGCACCAAGATGAACCGTATAATATTAAACGGAATCATCAGGTATCACGATCCCTGATATCACTGCCGTCATTGACACTGGCAAAGAAAAGGTTATGCGGTAGGTGGATTTCTCTCCCTTGTAAATGGACGCCTTCTAATGGTACATCTTAGATTCGACGAGAGACGCCAGATTTCGAAATTAGTTGAAGTGTTTGTCGCCCGTGCGAATGCAAAGCAGCGTCGGGGCAGAGCCGGGAGGGTTCAACAGGGAATCTGTTTCCATTTGTTCTCAAAATATAGACATGACAAACTTGTATGCCCCCGCCTTCCACGTCTATATCTAGAATCTTCAGCACTAACGAGGAAACAAATTAGCTTTCTGAGCAACAAATTCCAGAAATGCTTCGTCTCTCGCTACAGGATCTAATTCTTCGAGTGAAAATATGCAATCTAGGCGACATCGAAAGCACACTATCTGAGGCTTTAGATCCCCCATCCTCAAAAAATATCCGACGAGCTATTGATTCTCTAAAGACGGTGAAAGCTCTCACGGGGGCCGAGGCATTAACGCCACTGGGGAAGCAACTGGCTAAGCTACCGCTGGATGTATTCCTAGGCAAGCTGATCCTATACGGAGCTTTCTTCAAATGCATAGATGCAGCCGTCAGCATCGCGGCAATTTTGTCTTGCAAATCGCCTTTCCTAAATGACATCAACCGCAAAAGCCAGATTGAAGCTTCAAGAAAAGCATTTGAACGAGGTATTTCTCCTTAACCGTTTTCAATCGCTAATCTCAAACATAAAGACTAACCGCGCTTGCACGTTCTAGGGGATTCCGATTTACTTACCGTTTATAACGCCTATTGTGCATGGAAAAAGCACCGAGCAGATAAAAGCGAGTTCAGCTTCTGCAGGAAGAACCATCTTAGCCCCCAAGCGTTGCTCAACATTGAAGACGTGAAAACCCAGCTTCTGGTATCTGTAGTGGATACAGGATTACTAAAGCTAAATAACGAAGACCAATTGGCGTTGAATAGGCATGATCTTAATATTTGAATTTCTTGACACAGACAATCTCTAACTTTATGCACTTTAGAGCAAGATATGCCGGACGCAAACGACAGTTTTTCGTCGCCCCCGAACATGTGGATATGAATAGCAATAATGATACGATCGTTAATTCGGTGATTGCCTGGAGCTTCTATCCGAGGCTCCTTACTCGGCATGGCAAAGGGTGGAGAAACGTGAGCAACAACCAGGCAGTTGTTTTACATTCGGCGTCAGTGAACAAGCATACCGAGAACCCGCTGAAATGGCTCTCCTACTATCACATAATGCAGTCTCGGAACAGAAATTATAATGCACATGAGACTAGTGCGGTAGAAGAGCTCGCAGTTGTGCTATGCTGTGGAGATGCTGAATTTAAGGTATGTTGACGGTTATTCTTCCCTTTTAGAACATCGGAAGACCAACTAACTTTATATATTTAAGATGTATGCGGGAATTATCTCTCTCGACGGCAATCGTGTTAGGTTCAAAGTGCGTGATTGGAAAACCATGCTGGGCCTCCGGGTTTTGAGTACTCGAATCCGAGAAGTAATTGCTCAGACATTCAAGACACCAAAGAAAGAACTCTCCGCGGACCATAAGCAGTGGCTCGACCTATTCTTACAGGTCCTTGAGGTAAAGAAGAAACCGGACAATCCGGAATACATAGCAATGTGAGGCAAAAATGAAAGGGGTAAAAAAGGAATCGAGAATGGCCTAATTTAAGTGACTGGTATTCTGAGGTGACACTTACTTTGGCTGTTTCTTTTTCCCCCTATAAATGGTTGGTTTTGGTTTGTCTGGCGAATTTCTGGCTGATAGAGTGTGGATGGCAACTGACACGGTGTTTCTCTTGCATATTACTATGGCTAAGGGGGTGATATACTGTTACGCATGAAATAGGGAGTTAGTAGGGGGGGAAAACAGTGATAAAAATTTGTTCAAAATGTCACTGGCGATGTATCAAATCTCATGACTAGTGACCTTTCACTCCGTTCTACAGATGACGGCAACAATGTCAGCACCGTGCTGTGTGAGTAAGCCTAGAGGTTGGTGGAAGCGAGATTGGCGCGTTATCTGTCTGTTGTAATACCTTGAGTAAACATCCAACAACAAGCTGTGCACTGCTAAGTTGGTTCCTCCGTGGCACAGCAGTGACAGGTAGGGAGAGACGTCTCTGTAGGGATTGGCGATAGCTGTAGGTAGCCGTGTAGGTACGACAACATCCAGACCTTTCTTCTCCCGTACTATTTAACTCCGTGGAGCCATGAGTGATGCCTTTCGTGTAGCCGGAGTAAGCATGATTTGCAGAATCTTCAGATCATTCGGTGGATTTTGGTGACAATGGGAGAAGTCGCCGTTTGGTTATGCAACAACGATTGAAAGACAGCTAACTAATTTCCACAACCCGAGAAGAAAACCAGAAAAAATATCCAAGACATCCTAGGCCCATCGACTATGATGGAGATAATATATAAAATATAGAGAACCCAAGAACAAGCATTCGAGCTCCGGAAGCGAAGCGCAACACAGCCGGAGTTGCACAAGCGAAGAAAAAAGTGCATGGAGAATTCACATCTGATCAAAGGTGACGCGGGGGCTTGCCCTGCATGAAGAGCTCAACAAAGAAGAGAGGATAAAGCTTTCCCACCTTGAAAAGGAAACTAAAGAACACACAAAGAAGGGGCTAAATCCAGGGGGCGAATATACCAGCCGACCAACGAGCAGATATTGTACAAAACTATCTAGAATGGCTTCGCCTCATGAGAACATTAAGACAAGAGACGCCACCATCAGTTTGCTTATCTAGTTATTTTCGATGTGGCATGCTTTGTTGTTGATTTCCTCTTGGCCACCAAATGGGTGATTTGACAGGTGATTCAATATGATAACTTGGGTAAGGGGGCTGCTGTGGGTTGGGCAGGCTACGTGGCACGCCTAGGCTGTGAGATATCACCTTATGTTTATTTTAACTCCAGTTTAACTGTGGTTGAGTCGATATAAAAATTTCCTCCAGCAAGATTATTTTCTCTTGGTCTTATTCTACTGTATTCTCCCATCCTAGGCAGTGTGAATGGCAGCATCATATCGGCCGGGTAGTAAGTACTCCCGTACCTGGCAGAGTAGGACACTTGGTAGCCTAGGAAGAAATAGAATACGAGAGATGCTGCGAGCATTCCCGTGAACTGGAGCCCAAGGAGGTTTTCTCTGTCCATGTGGATTCACGTAGTTCAGCCCATGGGGGGTAGCACAGGTATCATGACATGCTGGCATCGATAGACGAGATAAAAAAAAAAAAGGAGGGAAATGACATTCATATCATCATCATCACCATCATATCGTCATTTTCCCAAGTGTCAGGATGTAGATTCGATGCCCAAGGGTTGGATATCAGGCTTGTAAGCCTGTGGCAGAGGCCAAGGCCATTCCTTCGCCGTTGGATGGCTCGTGTGACTCGGAGACCGGGAATATATTCAAGAAAAGAAAAGGGAGGGCTTAGCTGACAATTTTTTCGATTCTTGTCAAGGACTCGTGCAACTGCTGGATATCAAGTAGGGCGTTTAGTCATGGCAGTGGCATGGGGTTTCCAGTCTTAGCTATGCGAAGGAGACATGGATTTTGAAACCGAGTTAGACATCCTGGAACAGGGCTTCTTTCTACCGATATATATAGACACACACATAGTGTATGTATGTATATATGATTCATGGTAGAGAAAGGGGTAAAGGTCTCGCCACCTAGACATAATGCACAAAACCTGGTCAAGAAAAAGCCATGAGGACTTTCAGCTTCTGTGGATTCATCTTTTCCCTCGCTAAAGCTGGTGATAGCTCTCGTCTTCTAATTCGGGCCGAGAGGTAAACAAGGTGGTAGATTCTCTGCTCTCTGCTTTATAGGATATGCAGCATCGGTCGTACCAACAAGGAAGATCGCCGATTGGTGAAGATGCGAAGACGAGAAAACAGCAGTCGATCTGCGAGCAATATATAATATAAGCTGGTTTATTGGTTGGGTTACGTGAATGTACGGTATTTCGTGCATATACTGCAACAGCATGTATGTCCGTTGAGCCTACTATGTAGGTGTCTGTATAGGTAAAATCTCCCAACCGAGGGATTTGATCAGGGGGGAAACATTGAAAAGAGAAACAAGGGGGAGAAAAAAAGGAAAAAGGAAAAGAGCAAAGAGAAGCAGAGGGAAACAAAAAAAAAAAAAGCCCAGGACGGTCTGTGGGACGAGGGATTACGATTTGTACTGGGCCTTGACCTGGACTTGTCCAGCAAACGAGATCTGCCCCGTCCTTCTGCTGAAAATGTACGCGGGATCCGTTTGCAAGGAGGATAACTGGCATATTGTGTATGAGAGAGAGAAAAAGTCATCATCATCTCCCTTTTGGGGGGTCTCAATTCTCAACGGGATGTAAGTGTATATACTCCGTAACAGAGGGTATATAGAAGGCCGGTGTCACGAAAAGAAGATGGACATGAGTGCCTTGCATCCGTCGGATTATTTTATCCCTTTTTTCTTTTTCTTTTCTTCTTGCATGCAATAATAGTTAGATGTATATATCTATCACCATCTCATCCTCGTCGCTTAGTTACTGTAACTAAGATAAGAGAGCTGCAGCAGCATGTATGTAAGGCGTATATTCGTATGTATGTACCAGGTTGAAGATTATATACCTGATATCTCAGCTCCTTGAACCAACTCCACCGGCTCTTCTGTTTCGTCATCCTGAATATACTCCGTATAAGGGGCAATAATATGAAGAAGATAGACGCACACTATGTCGATGCATGAACTTCCGCGACAGTTTTGACTTGATCATGCACGGGATAAGTGACTATGATATGCAGCCAAGTAGTCGAGATTTGCATCAACCGCATCATCAGTCTCTTTCTCTCTCTGCCTCTTTGCCAGGTCACTCGGCCTAGATCTTGCCACTTGTTGTGCCAAAGGCTAAGCAACGAGTTCCACGGAAGGACGTGGAGATCTGTCGGATGCGCTGGTAGCATGTCGAATCAGTCTCTGCTCGTCTTCTTCTCTCGCTTCTCTTTTATTTTTATTCTTTTTTTTATATATATTTTAATACTCGCATATGCAACGGCGGGTGGATGCAGCTGAAACCCGCCATGACCATCAGCACACACACACCCTTTTCTTGCTTTTCTTTCTTGCTTTTTTTTCTTTTCCCTTTTGCATATCTTAACATCCCTACCTCATATCAGGCTAGGGAGGTGATTCGCTATGTATGGAGTACATGCTGACTCGGTACAGTTGCCCTTTCAATCCCGAGTCTGATACCTTTAAGATGAGCTGGCCGGGAGAAGAACGAGACGAGATGAGACGGAGGTGAATAATCGACATGCGGAGATTACCAAGATAGAAGAGGCTGTCCATACAGAAGCCTCTATTCGACACCTGTCCTCGCCTTCTGCCACAGCGTGGAGAAGGGGATAGGGGGAAAAAAAAGAGAAGAGAACGGCCCCCCCGGAGTCACCGGCGAAGTACGGGGTTGCGACTGACCGGTGGAGAAAAGCGAATCTTCAAGAGACGATTAGAGGGAGAGGAAGAGGGAGGAAGAGATGTACGGCGCGTATATACACAACTTAACCTCTGGCCAGCGGATTTTTGCATTACACATGGTACGGAGTATAGATACATACATACGGAGTACTTTCTTCCTACGAGTTGTCAACGCTGCGTGGAATTATCAGGCCATCTCTGGGAACACAGAATACCCGCTCCACCCTTGCTGGGGAAATACCATATAAGTTACGATACGGGCAGACTTGACCAAGGCCAGAAGTACCAGTGACCTGCCCCAGCCGATGCTCCAGGACCGCAGAAGGTGGTCATGGATACCTTTTGCCCGAGTATACATACAACACATGGAGTATACATGCATACATATAGTACGTTACCAATATAGAAACGGGATACCTAAAAAAAAGAACGAGAGAGACCACTGGACAGGAGAGAGCCGGAGAGCCAACAGTCTATTTTTGCCCTCCTTCGACTCTTTCTCTCTCTTCTCCTAGGGGGGGGCTCCAGAGGCTACTGAGGTTGCCTTTTCCTTTTTTTCTTCTTCTCCTTCTTCTTCCTTGAATGGCGTTTAGAGCTCGTTGACGTGGTCGCTTTCCTGGCCACTCGTTTTTGATGCGCCCAGCCCGCAATATCCACTTTCCACACCCACAGCTCTTTTTGGTTTTGGGACAACAACATCCAGTGCTTCGAAAAAGGGTCGTTTGATGCCAGTTTCGAACCTGGGATGAAAGAAATCATTATACCACCGTTATAAGTGGTTGACTCCATTTCCTCCCCCCCGGAACGCCGGTTTTTTTTTTTTTTTTTTTTATTTTATTCTTCGCTCCTCTCATTGCTGATATCATCATTAGTTAATCTATATATGGTCAATATATATATTGGCCCCCCCTGGGTCAGACTAAGCACTCTGTACGGAACGATTAGGGATGAGTTAATTAATAATTGATTAACTATAGATATGCTAACGGACGGAGTACTGTGTAGGTATACCTCACTACTAAAACTAGCATGAACAGGCATCGTGGTGATAAAGTGATTTTCACGCTGGCTGTTCGCACTTCGCTCGTCACTTTTTCGCCTTTTGCTTTTTTTTTTACACTTCCTCCCCCCTCCGTCCACATTTATTTCCT